GTCAGAAACATATTTCAAATCTAAGTCCCTATTAAGTTCCAAACCACGACTAGCAAAGTAACCCATATCTCGAAAAAACAAAGGGAACATCATAGTATATGGCTTGACAACATCTATAACATTACTTCTATCCCTTGAGTTGATCATCGAATTGTAAATATAAATACACCAATCATTGATGCAAAACTTGGCAAGCACCCAATGCATTTGTTGCTTAAGGTAAACTGGCATCAAAACATGCTCCACTTCATCCTAAGGCTTTGATTGTGGCAATGTAAAGCCTACAATATAATCACATAGAGATGCAAATCTCGACCAATAAAAAGACTTATCTAGCGTTGCAGCATATGACTGCTGTAGCGTAAGATTGAAAAGAGATTTCGTTGTTGTGAAACTCGTTTTGCACGTAGTAGTAACTTGAGCCTTTTTCCTAAAGTAATAAAAGATCACATCAATATGTTGCACAAAAAGGGAAATATGAGAAAACAAATAAAGAAATACGAAGGAAACATAATAATATATATGGAAAAGTTAATAAGCATACAGAATATGATATCATCTGCCCCATATAATGAAGCTGGTGAAACCATGTCTTTGATTCGACAAAAGCAACAGTAAAATTGAATCCATGATTGAGATGATCAACTTTCGAAGGATACATCAAATTGGATCTACAAAAAGGATAAAAAACATTAAAAACCAGAGTATAATAAACTGTATAAAATATAATATGAATGTTAATGTTAAAACAACCTTTTGCGCTTATAAGCCCCTTCATCAATCCAAATATTAAATGATTCAAGAGCAGAAGACAATGGCACACAGTCTGCTTCATCAACAAAAGGGCATCCAATGGGGGTAACAGATGTCTTCAAAGAGCCACATCCTGAATCAAACTCACTAACAAAAGGGGATTTCACAAAAACATTGGGCTTTACGTTCCTTTTTTTCTTAAGTGATTCAGGTGTATGAACTACTGTCAAAGGTTGAATACTTGGGACATAAGGAACTAAATCCTTTATAGGATTTGAAGAACCTGAAGGAGGGTCATTGGTAGAAGACTACAAAATAATGAAAAAACAATATCAGAAGCAAGATAAGATTAGATATAAAAGCAAAGCATAATGAATAAAATTTATAAACCTTGGATTTTTGAAAATCTGAAACAAGAGAATCAAGTTTAGCAAAAAAAGCATCACCCTCAAGAGGTTCATTAGAAGCAGAATCTACTCTATGCTCACTTGATTGATTTTTAGTAGACATCATCTCAACAACAGTAGAATGAACAAGCTTGTAGACATAGTCCAAAATCAGAGCATCATTTTCAGAACAAGTCATCTCACCAACAGTAGAAAATACCAACTTCTCAACATATTTCAACAACACAACATCATGTTCAAGAGACAACGTCTCAGTAACACTTGAAAAAACAGTATTCTGGAGAAAATCCAACAAGACAATATCATTCTCATCCGACATGAAATCAGTAACTATAGAAAAAAACAATATCATGCACATAATGCAATAACACATCACAATCCTGTGAAGAAATTAGATATGTAAAAGTATGAGACATGGAGTCTTGTGAATGAGTAGTAACAACATCAGCATCATCTGCAATCTGATAAGAATAACGAAAAAGAAGATTACAAATTTGAAAACTAAAAACAATAAGAAACATAAACAAACAATATAAAAAGAGACATATACATAACATGTTCATTATTTGAAGACTAGGCATTAGAGTGAGTATAATTGACTGGTTCATCTCCAATCTCATAAGAATAAAAACAAAACATGTAACAAACATAAAAACAAAAAAGTGAAACAAAAAACAACAAAGTAAAACATAAAGAAACAATATAAAAAGAGAGAAACGTAACTGGTTCATGATCTGAAGCTTGCCCACTGGAGTCAGTATGAATAAATGCTTGATCTAAATGAACAGAATCAAGATCAACGGTGTCAACAACATCATCATCAGAAAGCTCCTTTGTATTAGCAGCACCACAAACATCATTAGAAATCACTAGCTGATGTACAATAGGAGCGTGTTGAGAAATTGTCTCCTTGCTAGATTGAACATGATAAATTGAAGCAACACGGTCAAGCTTCTGTTCGAACACATTAAACATATCATCAACAAACTTTTTGAAATCAGTCAATTTATTGTCAAGGCGGTTTTCAAATGCAAATAGAACAGAGCTTGAAAATTGATCACCAAAAGAAGTACTAGGTCTGTGGCTAGAATTTGAAACAGAAGGCATAGTTTGGGGCCTTATCGGATGTGCAGCAAACAAAGAAGCTATTTGAATAGATTCCTTTTCAAGACCAGTAATAAAAATGTTGTGCAACTTCAACTGGCAAATAAAGAAAAAACAGAAAATAAATTTAATGAAAGAAAAAGATAATAAAAAAACAATAAAAAGATATGGAAGATTAAATTTTAAGAATACCCGAGAAGCAGATAAACAAAGAAGCTCAATATTCAACTTCTTGTAACTGAATGCAACAGAAGATTGCCAAGACAATAAACGGGGAACTAGAGAACCAGATCTCAAAGCAAACACGCCATAACAATAATCACAACACTCATAAAATCACACCTGAAGAGCTAATGGAAATCCCAAAATATGGTAAAAGAAGTAATCACTTTCTGAAGTATCTGCCATCACAAGCCTTCCTTTCAAATTTTGCAAAGTCAATTTAAAAAGGTCCTTACCCCAAGGATAGGAATCCCATAGACTAGAATTCACAACATCCTGATAAGTGTCACTAATATACTTTTCCTTAGACGAAGTAAAGAAGAACAAACCAAGAACATAAAGAATGACAAATTTAACAGCATCTTCATCACAATCAGCCTTTTGACCAAGAAAACAATTTTCAATTTCTTTACAACTTACTTTAGAAGAATTGTTGAAATATTTTTTGATAAGGTCATTACTGTCGGAAGAAGTAAGAGTAGAACAATCAAACTCACCAACACATTTCAAACCAGTAACAACTGCAAACTCAACAATTGAAAATCGCAAACGATAACCAGAAACATCAAACCGGATCTCATTCGAAATATTGTGACTAATTTCTCGAAGAAGCAAACAATGCACAAGTTGAGGCTGAAATTTCAGGACTTTGAAATCAAAGAATTTACCAAAGCAGGTTTGCCTAAATAAACTCAACTGAACTTCAGACAATTTGGACTTCAGATTATCAGGAATGCAATCCTTGTTATAGCTACAAACCCTCTCGTTAAACCATGACTGACAAGGAACAAAATACTCCCACTCCTTGCGTACAACAATGAAAAAATGAAATCAATAAATAAAAATAAAACAAATCGAAACAAATGAAACAAGAAATTTCATGTGAAAAATACAACAATAATACAAAATAAACAAAAAATGTAAATAATTACCTTAAATGACGGAGGATTAATTTTACTTTTAGCCTGATTCTTGGTGATCTCCGACTTCTTACATTGCACATTTGCAGAGAGTTTAGGCTTCTTCTGAGCCTTCAGAGGTTTTTTATTTTTTCGCTTCTTACCAGTGACATTTGTTTGCACTTGAAGTACGAGACGGTGAAGCGGTATCATCCTGAGGGCCAGAAGTTGTTCCACCAATATTCATCGCAGAAGAAGCTCTCGTAATACGACGAGGAGTATTAGAACTTGACATTGTTGAGGATAAAGGAAAAACAGGGGTCACATACAAAGTTGAAAGAAGAAAAGTGACGGAGAAGACGAACTAAAGATGAAGATACGAAGCAGAAGAAATGCGAAGTTGGAAGACGGGAAGCAAGGGGAACGAAAACAGGAAAGAGGTTCAATATGGTGCGAATTTCGTAGAACGTGGAGGGCGGTTGTCAGAAACGGTCTAAAACTGAAATAAACGTATACCGCGGTATTTGAAAACATTTACCGTTACCATACCGAAAATGACGGTATACCAATGTTCTGGTATTTTCTGATATTTTTCGGAACGATAAGTGCGGTATACCGATTTTCCGGTATTTTTGCCCACCCCTGGTTAATACACCTAGAATTTGATAATGCTTTTTTAATGCTTAACTGTCAACGTACCAAAATTGCACCGATGTAATACTATAGATTCTAATTATATTGGTTCTTCTAAATACTTCTAGAACCGAATCGATATGGGATTAACTGCTCTTCAAATGGTTCCTAATTTTCTTTCAAGAACTGAATCGATTTTACCCGTACATTTTTCTTTATAAGATGACATAAAAAACATCATTTTTTAAGTTTATCTTGTGTATAAATATTAATGCAGAATCTCCTAGTTCAATTTTATTTATCATAAAATGATAGAAATTCAAAATTTAATGTTCAAATCTTGCATATTGAGACCATCCCGACCTCCCGCCCTGGCCGGTACTAGTCGAGGACTTGTTGGCCAGTTTATGATCCCGGGGCTGGTAAATAATTAACCAAATCTGCAATCAGATCTATGCGTACCTGTGGTGAGTAGAAGACAACAGAAAAGTTCACGGAAACCTTTTGTAGACTTTTGAATACGCCTAAACTTTTAAAATCTATGAAATTTTAAAATTTTACCACTAATTTCTAATACAATAATCCCCTTAATTGTTTTAAGGAGTTTTATCAACCCGGGACCTGAAAGATGAAATGTATCAGTATATGATTCGAAAGATGAAAAACTATCAATCTAGGACCTAACATTTCATAGGTTTTGATTTATTTAATTTTTTATTAATTCCATTGCTAATATTTGGTGAAATTTTCTTCACAAAAGTTTATTGTTTAATAAAACTAAATACGTATTATTTAAATTTTTTAAAATAAAAATAATAATAAAATTTATGAAAACTTAAGTCCTAAATTGATAGTTTCTAATCATTCGAGTCCTAGATTGATAGTTTTTCATCATTCAGATTCTATACCGATACATTTCAACTTTCATATCCTGAATTGATAGTCATCTATTTTGAGGTTCCTTATTAATAACTTTAAATCCCTCACATATTCCTCATTTTTTGCGCATAAAATTTGTATCACAGCGAAGGTTCATTGGTCACACAGTCACACTGCCACATTAAGCAGACAAAAAACCCAACGCCGAGGTCGTCTCTTAACGTCGCCTCAGTCAGCCGTTTTCCTTTGTCTCCGATCTTCTTGGCTCCTTTTAGCCAACCCTAAACCCTACTTTCAGCCAGCCATGGAGAACTCATCCTGCCGTCACGCTCTCATTCCGAGTTTCCTCTACTCATCGCCGGTATTTGCTTATACTCCCAAACCTTTGTCATCCGAGAAGATTATCGCTGAGTCGAACCTTAGCTTACCGCCTTCATCTTCTCCGAGTAAGGGCTTCCTGATTCCGTCTCCAAGCGAACCTAGCAAGATCGAGCTCCACTCCCCTAAGTACTATGCTGCCTGCACCGCTGGTGGTATTTTGAGCTGCGGTCTCACTCACATGGCCGTCACTCCTCTCGACCTCGTCAAGTGTAATATGCAGGTTCAGTTCTTCAGATCTATTCTTTCTATCCACTTTCATTTATTTTTGTGCGTTTTTCAATCGTTGGGGTTGTCATTTATATCTCTTGGATCAGATCTGTTATAGTGACGTTTCTATTATTCTGAATGTTGTCTTATGGATATCATTTCTACATGAGAATACTGCTTTAATTATGATAGACCTGTCTTGCTTCTCTTTGTTCTTGTTGAATCCGATTTTGTGTATTCATTCATTCTTTCCTCTCGTGATGGAGTGATTAGTACTAACCTGCTTCGAATCAGTTTTTGAGCATTCAAGCTCGTGGTTAACAAATTAACATTCGTTCACCTTGGGTCGTTATTTATTGATGCTGTTGTAATTGGAATTCTTTGCATACAGTATTTTTTTTTTGAATTCTGAAACAATGCTAAGACACCTAGTAATGCAACTCTTTGAATTCTGAACAATATTTGATGACTATATACACCTTTATTTATATATGTAGTAATATTTTTTGCATTGTACTTCTGAATAGGAGTTTAAAATCTTTTAGCTTTGAGTTTGTACTGTATGAGATATGGGCTGCTCATCTGCGCTATTTGAAAAAAAATTGTCAATAGTTTCACTTAGTTTGATCTCTAATGATCATCTGTTGTCTACACATAATGCCAATCCTTTTCATTATGGTATGAGACTGTTAATCCTGTCTGTTTTTTTCTATGGTTTCTCTTACACTTTGTTAGCCGACTGAGATTATGTGAATATGCAGATTGACCCTGCAAAGTACAAGAATATTACATCTGGTTTTGGAGTATTGCTGAAGGAGCAAGGAGTCAAGGGATTCTTCAGAGGATGGGTTCCTACCCTTCTTGGGTACAGTGCTCAGGGTGCCTGCAAGTTTGGATTGTATGAGTTCTTCAAGAAGTACTACTCTGATATTGCTGGACCAGAATATGCATCAAAGTACAAAACATTAATCTACCTTGCTGGCTCTGCATCAGCAGAAGTGATTGCAGATGTTGCACTTTGCCCCTTTGAAGCAGTAAAGGTTCGTGTGCAGACTCAGCCAGGTTTTGCTAGGGGATTGGCTGATGGGCTTCCAAAATTTGTCGGATCTGAAGGAGCTCTTGGGTATGCTCAAAGATTTCACAGTTCATTTTAATTGCTAGGATTTATTGTGTGTTTATTACATCTATCATTCTTTGTAGGTTGTACAAGGGGTTGGTTCCTCTTTGGGGACGTCAGATTCCATGTAAGTTGAAGATTTTTTCATTGGTCATATTCCGTATTATTTTTAGTATCTCAAAAGTAATCTGTTGTGTGTGTGTTTGTGTTTAAGTATTCATATCTTTGATTGCCTTTAGATCCAAAACCTGAGTGTTGTGGTGCGCATTGTGATGGGTTAGTGTCTGACATCTGCAATATATGGTACCCCGTGTTTTTTATGATTATCCAAATTTTGAACATTGAATGGATTTTGTGTGTAGCTGTCAATGGCAAAAGTAGGAATTCTTTTTCTAAAATGAATTATTCATTATGATTTATGAGTACCAATTATGATTTTGTGTGCATGTGACAGGGTGAGTTTTCTTTCATTTTAGTTTTAAAATCATTCAATTTCTGAATTGCATGTATTGTGAGTACTATGCAACTTAGTTCTACCAAAGCATAAAAATAATATTCCTCTATGGCTATATGCTTCTGCAGCCATTATTGTTAATTTTGTGGTTATAAGTAAATGGTATGAGACTCATGTGTTGTGTTGAAGAAAATGTTATGATCGCTCAATGCTGAATAGAGATGTTACTTTTAGAACTCTGATATATGAGAGAACTGTATAATTGCAGATACGATGATGAAGTTTGCATCATTTGAGACTATTGTTGAGTTGTTGTACAAGCATGCAATCCCGACACCAAAAAACGAGTGTAGCAAGCCTTTTCAACTTGGAGTGAGCTTTGCTGGTGGGTACATAGCTGGTGTTTTGTGTGCCATAGTCTCGCATCCCGCTGATAATCTCGTGTCTTTCCTCAACAATGCAAAAGGGGCTACTGTTGGTGATGTGAGCACTTTACTGTCCTCATCATTTGCTTTGAACTACCTCTACTTATACTACTACTACTAGTAGTAGTTTCTCTTAACAGTTTATAATAATGTCTTTTGTAGGCTGTAAAGAAGATGGGAGTACTGGGCCTCTTTACTCGTGGGCTTCCTCTCCGTATTGTCATGATTGGCACTCTCACTGGTGCTCAATGGGGAATCTATGATGCTTTCAAAGTCTTTGTAGGACTGTAAGTCTGCTATATCAATTTCTTTTTGACATTGCATTTATTACTCTACCCCCGTTTATTATATACTCTTCTTAATTGCTTGAAGCTGATGAGTTTGATAACGATTTCTATTTTTAGGCCAACAACTGGAGGAGTTGCTTCTGCTCCTATAGATGTGGGAATTCCCGTTGCTTAGGGGATAATCTACTTGCAAAGATCTGGGTGGGATGAATAAAAGTGACTTGTTGCTGATGGTTTCTTGTCAGTATAATTATAGAGGGTAATTCTTTTTATGATGAGCATTATTATAATACATTTACCAGTCCAAACAATTTTTGTGGTCACTAGTTCTGGAAGAGGATTGTTCTCCTGAACTTTGCTACACTTGATGTACCTTTCTTTTTGAGCATTCGTATTCGTATACTCATAGGAGTGTTTGTTGTTTTTCACATCCAGAACAAAGGGAAAAACCTTTTCCATTGGGGCAGGGGGCTGTAGCCCTCAATTATTTTCCTTCTCCACATTTACCCATTGTTTAGTGCACATATTCATCCATTGCAAAGTTATCTTTAAACAATTTGCTATGTGACACCCAAAGCGTTCTTACGTTGTATTACGTACAGTTGGTGTTATAGGCGATGCTGGTGATTGGCGCTCTTTGAATCTTTGATAATGTGTGTGTGCATGTCTGAGTTCTAGAGGTCGTTTGGCAACCTTGTTTTTCGGCTAGGGATGGACTCGGGCCGGGTGGCCCGACCCGGAACCGGTCCGGGACCGGTACTGTTCCGGCCCGGCCTGACCCGGTGGCCCAGTCAGTGAGCGGTCCGGGTAGGCCCGACCCGTGGGTTTTCCGGTCCGGGCTTGGGTCACCCAAAACAAAGCCCGACCTGGCCGGGCTCGGTTCGGGCCAAAACTATTTTTTTTTCATTTTTTTTTAAATTTTCGGGTTGGGCTGGGTATTTTGGGCCATTTGGGGTGGTTTGGAGGGTTGGGGGTTAATTAGGAAGAGGAAAAAAAAAATTGATAATGGGCCTGGCCCGGACCCGAACTTGGACCGGACTTGGTGGTTACTCGGGCTGATCCCAGGTCCACCACTTCTGAACCGCTGGCCCGCCCGGGCCTAGGCTCGACCCGGACTCGGCCTGGACTCGAGTCCATCCCTATTTTCGGCTTATCAGGCTTATCAGCCAACTTTTTCACCAAACGTCATTTTTGCCTCCGCGTGCTGAATTGTGTAATAAGCAGAAAAATTAAGGTTGAAGTTACTTTTCGGGCTGTACTGGTTGAAGTTAGTGTAGATGATGATTTTAGCAATTTTTACATATAATTTTTTATTTATTTTATTAATACAATATATTTTAAAATTATTTTTTCCCTTAAATCAGCAGAATCAGCCAATGCAACCACTTCAGTTAGAACTTCATAAATTTCAGCAGAATAAGCTAAATCCGTCGATTTTTGTGCTACCAAATGGGCTCCTATTTTCACATGTCAATGTTCTCTATAAACGGAAAATTGAAATAACATCTATAGTCTTATTAAAGTTTATTACTGTGCATAAAAGTTGATGAGTAAAACGATGTTTTTGTACTAAAATAATTAAGTGCCCATTTCGGAAATATAAGAAAAAATGATACGGAGTATTTGTTTGTCTTTGTATTAAGCTAATTTAATCACATACTTTACAACTTTTTAAACCCTGATTGAATGTTAATAGTTTAAGCCCGAAGGATGTGCCAACCCTTGAAAAACAGAGGTTTTTCATCACACTGCATGGTGACACAACAAAATGAACAAATATGATAAAATCAAAACAGTAGTGCTGGACCAAAACAGAGCATGTACCGATGTACGTGAACAAAGTTGAGTGTCATAGATGAGTAGTGATTGTTAATAGAACTATTATTAGATCTTATACTTTAGATTAAACTCTCATTAATATAAATATATTTGTCAGGGCTCCTTAGAGAGCATCTTGTTCCATTATTCTCACATGGTATCAAGAGCACAATAAATATTATTTTTTTCGATTCTCTCTCTACCTCTTGGCGCCACCGGCAAACCCTAGTGGCGCCACCATACACCAGCCGTACGACGCTGTCATGAGTTCTCAGCCCGTCTCCTCTGTCGCACATACCATGACAACGTCATCACCTTCTTGACTTCTTCCAGCTCATCCCCTACTGTCAGCGCTGAAACCTCCATCGGCATCACGGCGCCGCTGCCTCCCTCGGTGTCGCAGCCAGTTTTTCCGTTTCCAAGCCGCCACTCAATGCCCTATTCCCTGTTTCAACATCCACCGCCATCGTTTCCGTGGTCGGCCCCTGTCCGAGTGCAGCAAGTTTTTCTTGAGCCCCCACCCTTCGTGGCTCCTTCCTTCGTTGGCCCGACTTTCGTTGGCTCGCCGGGGGTGTCATCTACACTCTACACTTGCCTCCTGTTCGGACGACATCCGTTAACTCCAATGGCTCTCCGTTGGCAGAACTCGCCCAAACCATCTCACATGTGGCGACTAATGTCACAAACATTGTGACTACCAAACTTTTGGCGGTTGAAGATTACACTACTTGGAGAACTCAATTTGAGTAGTTTCTTATTTCTAAGGGTCTCCTTGGCATGGTTGACGACTCTATTCAGATATCATCCGCTTATTCCATCGATATACTTAACTGTCAAATTCCCAATCCCGAATTTTCTACTTGGCTCCGCGTTGATCAAACTATCCAGTCATGGTTATTTGCTACTCTTTCGCGGGATGTTTTGATTGATGTTAGGGATTTAAAACATTCCTCTGAGATTTGGGAACGGTTAGAGTCTAGATTTATGTCTGCCAGTTTAGCCAGATCTATGGAATTAAAGCGGTTATTGTCCCAACTTAAAAAAAAAACCCGACCAGTCAATGGACAGTTATTTAAGGGAAATTAAAATTTTAGTGGATGATCTTGCTACAATCAATTGTCCGGTTCCACCTCGGGAAGTGCTGAAAACTACCATTTCGGGTTTAGGACCCGAATATGAATCTTTATTCACCACCGTTTCATTATTTCCCCAAAATTTCCCTTTTGAGGACCCTTCACAACCATCTTCTGGAACAAGAGCAGCGGGTCCTTTATTTGCGCTCCCAGGAATACTCCTCCATTCATCAGGCCTTTGGTGCGCTCACTCCACCCTCTGGACAGCCGCACGCACAGCAGGGAGCACCGCAACAGCTAGTGATGGACCCGGGCCGGTCCGGTTCCATTTATGGGCCGAGCCCGGGAGGGCTTTTTTTGCAAATCCTTGGGCCCGAAACCGGCCCGGGTTGATACCGGGTCCGGGCCTAACCGGGCCGGGCTGGGCCCGGTTCAATGTCTAATTTTTTTTTGCTTTGTTGTTATCCCCCGACCCCCCTCCCCTCACCCCCACCCCCAAACCTTCCCAAAACACCCAGCCCTACCCTAGGAAAAGAAAAAAATTGAAAAAAAAAATTGACCCGGGCCCAGCCCGAACCGCCTGGACCGGTTCGCCCAAACCTGGGCCCGAGCCCGGCCTGCCTGATCCGTCCAAACGGGCTAAAAGCTCGGAACCAGCCAACCGGTCCCGGTCCGGCCGGCCCGGTTTAGTCCATCCCTAGCAGCAACCAGCGTCTTCCACCGGTGGATCGCAGAAGCCACGCCAACCAAGCCAGCAGCAGCGCGGCAGAGGCCGCGGTGGCCGCGGGCGTGGACGCGGACAACACCTAGCACAGTACGGCCAGCAGGGGTACTGGTTTTCGCTGTAGGGTCCGTCCATTTATCACCCGAGAGGGGGTGTTCCGCCGGTTCCACATGCAGGGGGTGTGACATCTACGGGTACTGTTTTTTGTAATTCTGCTATGTCAACTTATAATATTAATGTTTTACCTGTTTGTGCTACTAACATGAATTATGCAGGCTTACCTGTTTGTTCTGCATCCTGTTGTGTGTCAGATTTGTTTTCATGCAGGTCACTTTACTATCACATGTCCCTCTCGTTTCACACAGCCCTCTGCTCCTGCTTTGTTGACTACTCTTGGGGAAACTAATCCCGCTTTATGGTATCCTGATTCAGGAGCTTCTGCTCACATGACTGCATCCGAAGGTAATTTAATTAATAAATCTCCATACAATGGCTATAATTCTGTTAGTGTTGCTAATGGTGCCCATCTTCCCATATGTCATGTTGGTGATGTTGCCTTACCTTCTTCTGGTCGTCCTATCACATTAAAGTCTGTTTATCATGTGCCTCAATTAAAATACAATTTAATTTCCATTCAAAGACTTTGTGCGGATAATAACTGTACTACTGTTTTTGATAATTTTTTTTTGATTAAGGACAAAGCCTCGGGGGTGATACTTCTGCGAGCTACCAGTAGTGGACCACTTTATCCTATCAGTCTGCTGTCTTCTCCATCATTAGTTTTAGTTTCCGTTTTAGCTTCTGGCCCTGTGTGGCACCGTAGACTAGGTCACTGTGGTGACTTTTAACAATTTCTTAAACGAAAACGATTTTTATGTAGTCATTCTCCTTTTACTCATGAGTGTGTTGCCTGTCGTTTAGGAAAATCACAACGATTACCCTTTATGGATGTTAGTCATATTTCCTCTTTTCCTTTGGAAATTATTTATTCTGATGTGTGGCAATCTTCTATTTGTTCAAATTTGGGCTGCAAGTATTATGTATGATTTATTGATGATTTTTCCCGTTATACTTGGATTTTTCCCATGCGTCACAAGAGTGAGGTTTTTCTCCACTTTAAAAATTTTAAGGCTTTAGTAGAAAATCTTTTTAATCAGAAAATTAAAAATTTTCAGAGTGACGGGGGTGGTGAGTTTGTTAATAATAATATGCAACAATTTTTCTCCGCTAATGGTAATTTTTTTCAAAAATTTTGTCCTGATACTCCCCAACAAAACGGGGTTGCTGAAAGGAAGCATCGTCATCTAACTTGAGCTCACTCGAACAATGCTGCTTGAAGCCTCTGTTCCAAGTCAGTTTTGGGTTGATGCAATTTTTACCGCTGCATATATTATTAATAGATTACCTTCCCCTAGCTTACAGGGTCTTTCTCCATACCAAAAACTTTTTCAACGTGTTCCGGACTACTCTTTAATGCGCGTTTTTGGCTCTGCCTGCTATCCCAATTTTTCGGCCATGCCGGCTAACAAACTGTCACCTCGTTCTGTTCAATGTGTTTTTCTTGGCTATGCATCCGGATATAAGGTCTATCGTTTTTTTGATCCTAACACAGGTCGTGTCTATATCAGTCGCCATGTTAGGTTTAATGAGGATATTTACCCTTTTCAGTCACCCAAATGAACTCATACTCCTCCACAAATCTCCTCCACCCCTTTTCCCATGCATCTCACCGATATTCCCTCTCCACCGCTTGCACTGTCATCATCCCGTCGTGACCCACCCAACCAGCCATCCCCTACATCTCCACTATATTCGAACCCTCGCCTGTCTACCTCTCAGTCACCCAGCCCGACGCCTTGTTCCACTCCTTCGACACCTTCGTCCTCTTCCTCTCTTAGCTCTGCCGATAGGACCACACCAGACATTCTTGCATCCTCTTATTCCCCTCCAACCGAGCC